CAACTAGAGTCCTTATATGTTACCGGCAAGAATTCAAAGAGGTATACCCATTTTGGATGTTTCTCATAAAGTTAAGCACACACCTACCTTATAGTTCAGTGATTACACTTTTAGGTATTAAATAAAAACACCTAAAGAAGACTCATGAAGTTTTTGAAGCAGATCTATTTAAAGTAGTCAACTAAAGCAACCCTAATGTCTATCATAAAATAATGAACAATTTTTTGATATATTCAAAACTGAATAATATTAGGCAATAAAAAGGAACCTATAACAAAGGAACTTTGTGTTTGCAAAACATTTTGGCGAACTAATAAAGCCAGGTTACTCTGCATATCCAGTATATGGACAAAATGATTCCTTTTATGTACAGTTCTAGGAGAGGAGAGAAACTCTTTAATTCTAGACATCAAACCAATACTTGCCTGAGCATAGTTGTGCAGCACTGACTGTAAAAGAAAAAAGAAGGAACTCTGGGAGTTGTGGAAATGTTCGATCATTCCTTCTGGCCTTCTATGCACCCTGCTTTCCTTTCTCCTTTTCTTTGTTTGCTGGGAATTGAATGTAGGGCCTAGCACAAGCTAACCGTACACTACCACTGAGTCATACCTCCAATCCTCAGTGTTGATATTTCACTAAACTATATATTTAAAACCTGTGCAAAATTTACTGTATATAAATTGTATATCCATAAAGTTGATTTCTTAAACAGGGCTTTCATTTGAATAGCACTTTGAGACTGAATTCCATTGCCCCCTCAACATATTGTCAAATGTGATTTATCAAAAATATAGTCTAGGGGCTGGGGATTTAGCTCAGCGGCAAAAGCACCTGCCTGGCAAGCGCAAGGTCGTGAGTTCAGTTCCTGGTACCGGAGAAAAACCAAAAAAATATATATATATATATAGTCTAGCAAGCAAGAATTGTCATTTTGATTTTTTGAGTGATTTTATACATGAGACAGGGAAACTAGGTAGTTTAGACCTAGATTTACACTATAAACCACTGAAAAAGCAAGGTGAAATGTAAAAACTCAACAAATGGCGGGCTCAGACATCTGTTTAGATATAGAATAGGTACTTAAGCAGTGAAGAACTGGCAGAGTCAAGCCACACAGGATAGACTTGAGGTAGACAGCCCCTTGCCTCACTGTCCCCTCTCCAAACAAAGGGCATGACAGCTTTGCAGCGTTATTGCATTTCCTGATCCACCCATTTATTCTGTAACACTCGTCAACATGTGTTATGTTAGAATTAGACAAGTTAGAATTAGACCTAACTCTAATTCTAACTATAGGCCCATTTCCTTAATGAATTTAGATGGAAATATCCCCAGTAAGACACTGCCAAACAGCCTGCAGCAAGTCATCAAGAATATTATACACCATGACCAAAAAGGACTCACCCCAGGAATGCAGGGATGGTTCACCATATTTAAATAAGTAAATGTAATATATCACATCAACAGAGCCAATGTCAAAAACTACATAATCATCTCAATAGACAGAAAAAGTATTTTAAAAGTCTAATTCCCATTTGGTATAAAAAAAAAACCCTACAGAGATTTCAAAAGGAAGGTCTTTATCTCAATCTGATAAAGACCATATATGAAAAACATTATATTAAATGGTCAGTAACTAAAAGCTTTCACTCTAAAATCAGGAAAAAGACAAGGAGGTCCACTATCACCACTCCTATTCAATACAGTTTTGGAAACATTAATCAGAGCAATTAGACAAGAGAAAGAAATAAAAGGAATAAAGATAGGAAAGAAAGAAGTTAAATTATCATTATTTGAAGATGACATGATACTCTACATACAAGACCCCAAAGACTGCCAGAATTAATAACCAAATTTGATAGCATAGTAGGATACAAAGTCAGCACTCAAAAATCAATAGCATTTCTGTGCACAAAGAACAAACTCATTGAGAGAGAAATCAGGAAAACAACACTTTTCATAACAGCATTAAGAGAAATGAAGTACTTAGTAAGTAAAAGAGCTATACATTAAAAACAACAGTACTCTGAAAAAAGGACATTGAAGAAGATATCAGAAAATGGAAAGGTATCCCTTGTTTCTAGGTAAGAAGAACCAAAATAGTGAATGGCCATACTTCCAAAGTTATTATACAGATTTAACGCAATCCTAATCAAAGTACCAAAAGTATACCTCAAAGAACTAGACAGAACAACTGAAAATTCATATGGAACCAGAAGAGACCAAAAATAGCAAAAGCAACTCTGGGCAACAAAGGCAAAGCAGTGGGCATCACAATCCCCAATCTGAAGTCATATTACAAAGCTACTGTGATAAAAACATGGTACTAGCAAATGGATCAGTAGAAGAAAATAAAAGATACACAAACAGCTCCAAACACACTCAGCTACCTTACCTTTGACAAAGGAACCAAGTAGCTTTACTGGAAGAAAGACAGCCTCTTTAATAAAATGGTGCTTGGAAAATTGGTTTTCCACATGCTGAAGATTAAACCTAGGCCCATATCCCTCACCATACACAAAACTAAAGCTGAACTGAATCAAAGATATAAATATTAAAACAGAAACACTTAATCTGCCAGAAGATAAAATAAGGAAAGTACCTGAAGACATAGGGATACACAAGGCCTTTATGAACAAATCCCAATTACACAGGAAATATTACAAAAAAAATCAGCAATTTAGATCT